AAGAAACATTAAATGAAAGCTCTGGAGATGTTAATAGCAGGTTTAGGTTGTTTGACTATATCTCAATATATACACCCTCAAAAAGACAAGTATCATTTGTGCACCAACAAAATGGTCAGAAGCAAACAATTTTTTAAAGAAATCAATTTGAAAACACATTTCTTTGTTGTCCACTTTGTATTGGTGAAGCATTGCTGTGGTGTATTCATGCTCTGACAATGTTTTTCTTTAACTAGAACATAGCAGCTGATAAGAGTAGATTGAAGATGGATGGAGCTAAATACATTGTTATACTGGAGAAAAAACTGTGAGAAGTTTCAAAAGACTTTGGGAGCTTTGGGGAAGTTCACCTTTGATCCAAAATGAGAAGTCAAAAAAATACCTAAAAAGACGTACACCGGTACGAGCAGCAAAAGGCTCAATGATGATAAACAGTTTAACAAAGCAATGGAAAACAGAACAGAATACTCTCATAGCCAGAGCAGTAAATCCAAATATAAGCCACAGAGAAGATTGAACTCCTCATAGAAGACCTTAATACAAAGTTTGCAAATGAAAAAACAAAACAAAAAAAACAATTGAATTGTTCATCTGGGCTCAATAAAACATAATTTGAATTTTATCCACAAGCCCCCCCATCCCTCAGCGTCTCCACAGAAGCAAGTGAGTTAGTGAGAGCAAGTGAAGGCAGGACACTGTTGATGAGGAAAAGACAAAACTAATCAAGGATTATATGGGCCATTTCCTTGGTGCCAGTCAGCATATCAGACAGGGACTTCCAAACTGTCGCTCTTTGCCTTCTCAAAATCACACCAGCACAACTATTGCACAAAAGAAGTTAAAAGTTTTAAATGTGATTTAGGTTTTTAATGTCTGATGGGTAAGATTTAGTGTAGCAGGAATCAACTGTCTGCCCTGTTTGGGTCATAAGTTTAGAGCAATAGAACTGTTTTGTTTTTTTTTAACCACAAAGAAAAGTAAATTGTTGCTTTATTTATCCAAGTCAACTGCATGTCAGTTTGGTGCATTTGTTGTTTAGAAGTTTTTTTTTTCTTCTTTTTTTTCTCCTAGACCAGTTTGTACTATAAATACAACAAAAACTAGCCCAAGTTGCCTCCTAAAAAAAAAGAAATAGCTTATTGCACATTAGTGCAGCACTTTGATTAAGTCTTTTTCATTTTGTATAAATTATTAATAGTTCAGGCACATCTATGGACCATCAAACCATTAGCCTGCGAAGCCAACAACATCCTGTACTACATTCAGAAATACCTCCTCCGTCTGTGCTCATGCACCTCTGACAGTGTTCCCCTTTTTCATTGACGAAGTTAGAACATGTTGAGTTTTTCTTTTTTTTATAACAGACCCCTTTAAATTTTTCATCAGCAGCAGCTGCAGTTAAAGTGCTAGTAGTGCACAAAAGCAGAGTCTTCTATAATAAATGAAATAATAAAGTATTTTATAGGTTGAACCTCCACAGGAGGTCATCCAGATGCATGAGGTACTAAAAGCAAAACAGTGAACAGAATGGCCTTTAACAAAGCAGGCGTAAAGTGTTGCAAGTTTTTTTCACACTAATTAAAAAAAAATTAAGTCAGGACTCCAGATGAAATGGTCTACACTTACAGATGAGCTATGAACATATATAAATACACTCACCGGCCACTTTATTAGGTACACCTGTCCAACT